GGGCTATGGAGAGAACAAAGGGTAGAACTCTGGATAAGCATGGTGCCTCATGGTGAAATGAATATATCTCCTGTAAGAAGATCAGATGGACTGTGAGTGGGTGTACTTGGAACAGCCTAACTTAGAAGATTTCTTCTCATATTTTGCAGCCCCTGGGACAAGTTGCTTTTAATCTTTCATTTCAATAAGCACTGGATCAAAGAATTTAATAAACAACCTGTTTTTCTTATAAAGAAATGCAAGTCAATATTCTATATAACTGTGTTTTCACTGAATCTGGCTGTGGACAGAAACAGTAGCTGGTTGTACCATACTGCAGAGCATCCTTGCTTCTATTCATGACGGAAGAAGCTTTAATTTATTAATTTATGGACTCCTTGGAACAATTTAAAATTTCCCTGGGGAATGACCATGGATTTCCTAGAGGTATGTGGCCCAAGCTATCAGGAGGCTAAAGAGGAAATCCTGACGCCTTGAAAACCTGCTTCATGAACTTAAGATTCAGCCTGCTTATCCTGATCTTTAAGGGTGATTTCCCTACCACGACTATACACTGAAGATGAAACAGATGCATCCACTGAAGGGACCTGTAGACATCTGATAACCAAATTAGGCAAAGTGTTTGTCTGTTTATTGACTGGGTCACCAACCATACGTTTGTCCTAATCATGCTTAATAGCATCCATAGGCATGTCAGATGACACAAAGTTTCTTAAACACTTCCTCTGATTCATGAATAGCTCAGCGTGTATTGGCTGCATGTGCGTGTACAGTTAAAGGCGAAGGTTTCTGAGGTCTTCTGAGTAGGATTGGTAAATTGTTGGGTTTAAATAATCTGGAAGAAGTTGGTTCAGAGCCCTTCTTCTCTGTTTTAAGTGAAGATTCTAATTCTGAGGAATGGGAACTTTCTTAAGAGTCCCCGCTGTGGCCTTGCAGCATTTCTGAAGCCTAGGGGCCAATAAGGAAAATTGCCTAGGTTGGCTTGGTTTTGGAAGGAACCTACCACCTTTCCAAAATGGTGGCTGTGCTGATTTGAGACTCCTGGATTTTGCACTTGGTGTTTTATCACCACACTGAACAGGGCTTGAAACTGTCTTTCTTTGAGAGTAGAATGGTGGTGCAGTTCTCATTAGTTGAAGAAGGATGGTGAAAGACGACTCCCCTCCAACCAACTGGTCCCACTGCTTCCCCCACTTGAATTGTCTCTAATTCTATTTGATGGCTTCTGTTCTTTTTCTCTCAATGTTCTGGTGCTATTCATCTTAATTCATTGGAAAAACTGTGTATGTGTATACAACATTAGACTCATTGGAATCCATTGAACTTATAGAGCAGATGACTCAACAAATCCCCACTTATTCTAGTGCAATGTACTATGCTAAGCAACAGGCATTCAGCCTGTGCAATCCAAAATAAGTACAGTGGTGCCTCGCTTAACGATTTTAATTGGTTCCCAAAAAAAACATCGCTATGGGAAAACATCGTTAAGCGAAACGTGTTTTCCCATAGAGATGCATTGAAAACCGGATAATCCGTTCCAATAGGAACGGATTGCTGTCCTTAAGCGAAAATCGCCATAGGAAACATCGCTAAGCGATACAATGTTTCCCCCATTGGAATGCATTGAAGCCTATTCAATGCATTTCAATGGTTTTGCGATGTCTGTTTTTGCAATTTTTAAAGTGTCTTAAAATGTTCAAAAACTGTTTTAAATGCTTGGGATCGTTAGTGCACCTTCTAAAACATGTGCAAACTTAATTTGGCTTTGTTCAAATTTGACAGCTATAAAAATCGGGTTCAAGGCGATCCAATGGGGGGGGGAAATTCGCCAAAAATTAATGAAGACTCAGAACAAAGCCAAATTAAGTTTGCATACATTTTAGAAGGTGCACTAAGGATTCCTAGCATTTAAAACAGTTTTTGAAGATTTTAAGACACTTTAAAAATTGCAAAAACAGACATCGCAAAACCATTGAAATGCATTGAATAGGCTTCAATGCATTCCAATGGGGGAGGAAAAAAATCACCAAAAATTAACGAAGAGTCAGAACAAAGCCAAATTAAGTTTGCATACATTTTAGAAGGTGCACTAAGGATTCCTAGCATTTAAAACAGTTTTTGAAGATTTTAAGACACTTTTAAAATTGCAAAAACGGACATTATTAAGCGAAACAGGGGACCCAAAACGCAGTCGCTATGCGAAGCATGGTCCCGAAATCGCTAAGCGAAAATCGCCCATAGGAAACATTGTTAAACGATGCAGAAAATTCTTAAAAAACCCATCATTAAGCAAATACATTGTTAAACGAAGCAATCGCTAAGCGAGGCACCACTGTAAATGACTAAAATAGTGTTCCCTAACATAGAACCCTCCAGATCTTTTGGATTAACTCACATGATCCCTTAGCAACAGTTATATTAGGTAGGCTGATGGGACTTGTTGTTACAACACCTGAAAGGTACTAGATTGTGGAAAGCTGGACTGGGGTTTTGGCCCTTCAGTATTATTTGAGGCTCAGTGAAACTCCTAATTGAATGACCTCCAGAGACAAAGGAAAACAGTTGAATGGCTAAAAGCTTATGGAAAATATTCTCTGTTTCTTGCTTATCACATTGGCCCGACACCCAAATGCAAGAAGACTTACTTCATCTGACTTCTATGACTAATGAAATAATTTACCAGTCTTTAGGCCTGTTCATATGGCTACATAGAGTGGTATTTAGATCACTGTTAGTATGGTTTGGTTTGAACCAAATTGCAATGTCCTTAAGTGTTTCTACAAAAGATTGTCCCATCCTGCCCCTTTAAGAGCTGTCGTGCTCCTTTCTGGTACAGGGCTATGGGCTTCTGTGTATTTTTGGCATGATTCAGCATGCTCTTAATTATCCTGTTGTGTAGCTTGTGTGGATGGCTAGAAAAAATGCATAGGAACCTGGAATGTAAGATCTATGAACCTTGGGAAGCTGGATGTGGTCAAACAGGAGATGGCAAGAATAAACATTGACATCCTGGGCATCAGTGAACTAAAGTGGTCCTATGTGATTCAGATAGGCGGGATATAAATTAAATAAATAAATAAATAAATTGGAATGGGAAAATTCAATTCAGATGATTATCATATCTACTATTGTGGGCAAGATTCCCGTAGAAGAAATGGAGTAGCCCTCATAGTCAACAAAAGAGTGGGAAAAGCTGTAGTGGGATACAATCTCAAAAATAATAGAATGATTTCAATACGAATCTAAGGCAGACCTTTCAACCTCACAGTAATCCAAGTTTATGCCCCAATCACCCATGCTGAAGAGGCTGAAATTGACCAATTCTATGAAGACTTACAACACCTTCTAGAACAGACAACAAAGAAAGATGTTCTCATTATAGGGGACTGGAATGCTAAAGTAGGTAGTCAAGAGATAAAAGGAACAACAGGTAAGTTTGACCTTGGAGTTCAAAACAAAGCAGGGCAAAGGCTAATAGACTTTTGTCAAGAGAACAAGTTGGTCATCACAAACAATCTTTTCCAACAAGACAAGACACGACTCCACACATGGAAAGTGTGAAGGCAAGAGGAGAGGGGGACGACAGAGGACTAGATGGGTGGAAAATGTCACATGAATTTGAGCAAACTCTGGGAGGCAGTGGAAGACAGGAGGGCCTGGTGTGCTCTGGTCCATGGGGTCACGAAGAGTCGGACATGACTTAATGACTAAACAACAAAAAAACTCTGCCCAGAATAGTGCTTTGACGCCAATGTGGCGGTATAGAAATTAAAGTAATAAACAAACAAAAGAATCACTCAAGTGAGAGATCAAATAGATCACACTGAAAATAAGAACTAGAGGTATTTGTATACAAACATCCCCATGTGATTGGACTTAACAAGGGTCCTGCCCTTGGGAATGGACTGTCCACTCATGTGTCTTGCTGTAGCGCTGATCCTGCTTGTCCTTCCAATCGAGCCTGAAGCACTGCTCTCTTCCCGCTTGGCTGGCCACTTGGCAGCCATGCAGGGAGACTCATCCTCCCTCCCCCTGCCTGGAGTGACCAGCCAAGTGGGAACAGACCGTTGCTCAGGGCACAATGGGAAGGATAAATGGGTCATATGAGTGGAGGTTCTGGATCCGGGGGGGCGGACCCTCATTAAGTCCAGCTGCATGGGAATATTTGTATTTGCATATGAATACCCTTGTCTCTAATAAGAACCTTTAAAGTGTGAACCAAACTGCTCCAAATTCTTCCATCTGGACAGCCCTTTTTTTTTAAAAGAAAATGTGAATGAGGCTCATCCAAATTCCTCCATTTTAATAAGACATATGCTCACACAATACGCACTTTTAAAGAAACATAGCCTGTTTGCATGGAGTAACAAGACAACAGAAAATCTCCAGATTTTGTATTAGGAAAAGATCATAACCCTATTTTTAAGCATTATTTTCTATAATGTCATGGGATAATTAAGGCAGAGAAATCACACAGGTTTGATTTCTCTGCCTTAACGGTCACATGAAGTTATAGAAATGCCAAGTATCAGTTCCATTTTGTTATCAGAAATACAAATTGTTTTACTGACGTAAGGCCTTACAAAAGGCACTATTAGTGCATGTCTGCTCTATTAAGTATTCTTGAAAACCTATATAATCTGTACTCCCATCAGAAGGTCTTGTGCTAAAGCTAAAAGTAGTTTTAGGATGAGCAGGTAAAATTCCATTTCTTCTTTATTTAATCCATATAATACACCATTTTTAGAATTTAAAAACTAGATAAAAGAGCATAATAAATGGCAAGTGTATGAAGTTTTTCTTCATAGTTTCTGAACAAAAAAATCTGAATTACAAAGTATTAAAAATATGTTGGTACATTTGAACATAGCAACCCACTAAAGCATAAAGATACAGATACAGCATAAAGAAAAATTGTGCCACTTACCTATTTTTTTGTTTGTTTTTTGAAGTTTCTAGGAACTTTTAAATCTGTACATAGGACCATTCTGTACAAAATATGAAGTCTACATTTTTATTACTCATTACAATAAAACAAAGTACAATGTATGTACAATATTAAAATGAAGCCATACTAAAGCCACACAGAAAGACTATTCTTTTTGACATTCCTGATGTACAGGCGTAAAATTCTGGAAAATATGGGAAGGTGGCTAACACTGAACTTTATGAAGAACAACAATCACCAAAACTATATTTTATTTGCACGTTTATTTTGGATGTATCAGTTTTTAGAATAATTTAATACAGAACTTATACAGAGCATAAAAAGGGTGAAAACAAACAAGCCAAACAATTAGTGCTGCTAAATTTTAGACTATTGCTTAGGCAAGTTTGTTAACTGGCCTAAAATCTCAAAACCAAATTGCCATGGCATAATTCCTCTTTCCCAGAACATTGCTTTTGGTGAATGTTTATCTTCAGTAAAGCAAAAATAAAATCTAGACAGTGAAAGATCTTATACGTTGAGTGTTACACAGTCAACCAAACATTGATATATAGTATTTCCCACTCCCCACGCCCTCCCCGGATAAAATTAGGGGCTTCTTTCTAGAAACCTCTTTCATGAACCTACTAAATAGCCAAATTATATTTTAAAAGATATTTGATAAGTTACCAGCTAAAGATGGAAGTTCAAACAATGGTGTATCAAAATACACATAGACATTGCTTTATGCAGTTATATATGCATCCTTTTCCCTTTCAAAAGGGGACAGAATCTTTAAACTGCTTTAATTATTAATTTTTCCTTATGGCAAGCATATTTATTTTCAAGTTTAACAGGATTCTTTTTTTTAACACAGAATGGGCATTTTATCTAAAATTTAGAGTAGTTTTTATATTTAACTTTGTTTAAGCAGTAATTCCCATCACAGGCAATCTGGTTTTCTCTCCACAGCTATTGCAATAAATATTGTATTTTTTATTTTGATATCAGCCAACAGGAATCATATCTGCATATGACTCCAAGTGCCTGCTTTGTACAGTAATTTTTATGGATTCAGGCAACCTAATTTCCTTAAAACACTGTTTGAAAGAAGCTGCAAATTTAACTTTTTTCTGCATCAAGACATTCAATATTGTTACTGTCTGAGACAAAAGAAACAAGTCATTCATTCTAAACAAAACTCATCTAAAACAGCTCCTAACCAGGATACAAAAGTCTAAAATACTGGCCACCCTGAGAGAAATCATATATTGAAGACAAAGCACTTGTACATATTTTCAAAGAAAAGTTATTCGTGCTTTCCCATCTAGAACAATGAAAAAAGAGCTTCTACCATGCAAGTAATCTTATGGAATATATAGCAGCATTTGAAGGTCAATGGCAACTCTGAGGTGTTTTCATTTTTCTTGTGAGGTGTGTATGTATTCTATGTGCTCTTTACCACAGAAAAGAATGTTGACAGCACAACTATTATAATTCATTTTTCAGCTCTCAAGACAGGCATTTTTAAAAAAGTGGTATGCCATTAGAAAATCCTTTGTATTGTTAAAAATAATGTTAAAAGTGTTGATGCTGCTTTCATAGAACATTATGCAGAAAAACGTATCCAACTCAGTGACCTCAGGTCGTCTGCAAGAAGAACTCTCAGAGTCCAAAGTATGCCACAGAGTTAAGCTCAGGTGGGGCAAAAAAGAATGGATCTATTTAGATAAATAAAAAGAATAATTTCATAAAACAAAAGTGGTATGTAATGACTTCTAAAAATTCAATTTATATTCAGTCAAGGCAGACAGAATTTTCATTTTTGGGAACACAATTTCTTCCATCGGCTCAGTTCCAAAATATCTGTTGTGTATTCCTCTCTAAAAGACTTGAAAATATGGCTTCAATCCACATAAAATCCCTAACAAGGCTGTCTCTCTCTGGAACAGTTTTCAGAGCTCCTAGAAATTAGCCGTGATTGAAGATTGTCATGAAAATTACCATTCTGTAAACTGCATTGACAGAGCAATTTAACTGCATGTTCTGAAATGGCAAGAATCTGTAAAGGCAGCAATGCAGAACTTTTTTTCTTCACACTTTTTCCAGTCTTATAAAAATGCCTAACGGAATTGAGACTCTGGACAGTACCAACAGTACCAATTCAGGGTAGCAGACAGAGAGAAAACAGATGACATTCTACCAGGTACTGCTATCATGCAACCTCCAGGGCTTACAAAGGAAAATTCACGCAACATCACTTTGTGTAGTATACTTTACCTGGAGGAAGCATGGGGGAGAAAACATGGAACCCCTGTACAGACTGTCCCATGTAATAGTCACATATGCAGTTTGTTGTATGTATGTATGTGTATGTGTATGAGGTGAGAGAATCCAACTTTGCAACTACCTTTAGCTTCCTAGCACATATACCTACAGCAGAGATCATGGTGTCCCTTTGCCTATCCACAGCAACCGATCTGTGAAACAACCCAAAAATATCTGGGATGTTGTATAACAGCAGTACTTGGTGATCTGCCGTAGAAGACTGCTCTTCTCTCAGGAGTGATATGAAAAAAGTGCATGCTTCCTTCTGGTTGGTACTATGCCAACAGCATCATGAAAATATTTAATACTATTCAACCCAAGTTTCTGCATACAGAATCAGGCAATTTACCATTGTTTGAACTATTAATCTTGAGCTGTGCATAATGTATCAAAGTTATTGCCTAACAGAATGGGGTTGAAAAATGCTTTGACTCGTGTGTAACTGATCAGTATGGCACAAAAAGTAAGTTCTCTACTGTGGAACAGAGTCCAGAAAAAAAGTTTCTCCTCCAAATAAGATTTTACTTCAATAATCTAATGCCCATCATGTGATATTAGATCATCAGCTCGGCAATGGGATTCCAAGGCTTTCATGGTATAGATATCCTGAGGCAGTTCTGACTTGCGTCGCACCATAGGACGCTCCTTTTTCTGATCCTTCTGCGCCTGAAATCAAAATGCTATGGTTTAAAAAGCCAGCAATTATTTTTACAATTTTTAAATTAAGAAAAGAACAAAAAGCAGCATTACAAAGGTTATTTCGGCAGCTATCAAATACCATGTAGCTACTGCTTAAAAGATTAGACAGCGCTACTGTGTTTCCCTGAAAATAAGACAGGGTCTTATATTAATTTTTGCTCCAAAAATGCATTAGGGCTTATTTTCAGGGGATGTTTTATTTTTCAGTCATGTCATCTTCGTCTGGTTGCTGCACAATGCTGAAGGGTGGGATTTCACTTAACTGGGGCTTATTTTTGGGGTAGGGTTTATATTATGAGCATCCTGAAAAATCATACTAGGGCTTATTTTCGGGGAAACAGGGTATGCTATCTATATAGGAGATGCTCCTGAACATGTCTGACTTTCCAGGAAGTCAATGAATCCAGAATTTAATATTTTATATACTTAACACAATTAATAAAGTATTTGGGTCTTCCTGGGTCTCTTAGAAACAACCAACCATGCATTCATGTTGGCACACAAAGTAACCATTTTGTCCAATCTACAACAATGTTTAATATAATTGTTAAGGGATACAGTTTACCAGCTGCCTAGCCTGATAGTGGTTCCTCTGGTGAGGAGTCATGTAGCAAAGGGTACTGAATGCTGCTACCACTGTAAGAGCCTGCCCTAGCCACATATTTGCCACTGAGATAGGATCACTTCAGGAATCTGCGATCAGAGGCCTTTGAAAGCACACTGCAGTATTATGGTGTCTTGGTTATTATTTATTTATATATATCGCCCCATTAGTGTGATTCTGGGCAGTTAACAAATGACGAAATCTAACAGTTAAAGCAGGAAAACGATAAAAATAATAGCGTAAAACAAAGTCAAATCAAGTTGGGTCAAATACTGCCGGAGCTTTTATAACTCCATGTTGTTCTTGTTGGAGAGACATACCTGCACCATGTCTGCCTTCCTGTCTCTGCTGACTGAGGTAAAACTAAGAAGAGCATGACTTTATTGGGAAGATAGGCTGGATTGCTACTGAAGGTTTCAGACCGCCTTTACATGCTAGCATAATCTTCCAGATTAGCACTGACAGTGGAAAGGATGATTTGAGTTAGGAACAGCTGGATAAAGACCAGAAAGGTGGGAAGTGAAGCAGGGGGAACAGCCCTCTCTAATCATTAACACTCTTTTAGAAAATATATGTATTTCTGATTCCAGATACAGTGGTGCCTCGCTTAGCGAGTGCTTCGTTTAGCGATGAAATCGCTTTGTGATGAACTTTTTGCGATCGCAAAAGCGATCGCTTTGCGATGTTCCCTATGGGGGAATTTCGCTTTGCGATGATCGGTTCCCTGCTTCGGGAACCGATCATCGCAAAGCGACCATCTTCGCACAGCTGATCAGCGGTTTCAAAATGGCCGCTGGGTAAACAAAATGGCCATCTGCTGTTTTCTGGGATGGATTCCTCCCTTAAAAGGCACCAAAAATGGCCGCGCTATGGAGGATCTTCACTGAACAGTGAGTTTTAAGCCCCTAGGAATGCATTAATCAGGTTTTAATGCGTTTCTATGGGCTTTTTGATAAAGACCAGAAAGGTGGGAAGTGAAGCAGGGGGAACAGCCCTCTCTAATCATTAACACTCTTTTAGAAAATATATGTATTTCTGATTCCAGATACAGTGGTGCCTCGCTTAGCGAGTGCTTCGTTTAGCGATGAAATCGCTTTGTGATGAACTTTTTGCGATCGCAAAAGCGATCGCTTTGCGATGTTCCCTATGGGGGAATTTCGCTTTGCGATGATCGGTTCCCTGCTTCGGGAACCGATCATCGCAAAGCGACCATCTTCGCACAGCTGATCAGCGGTTTCAAAATGGCCGCTGGGTAAACAAAATGGCCATCTGCTGTTTTCTGGGATGGATTCCTCCCTTAAAAGGCACCAAAAATGGCCGCGCTATGGAGGATCTTCACTGAACAGTGAGTTTTAAGCCCCTAGGAACGCATTAATCAGGTTTTAATGTGTTTCTATGGGCTTTTTAATATCGCATAGCGACGTTTTCGTTCAACAGCGATTTTTTGCAGAACGAATTAACGTCGCAATGCGAGGCACCACTGTACTACGTTTGTGTCACTCTTGCCACACCAACTTAAATTCTCTTGGCTAACTGACTTCTTGCAACATCTGAATAGGATCACTCATTCTAAATTTTTTGCATCAGATGTCAATATACAATGGGTACAATCCAACTGTTATTTTTGTAATGTTTGTCTAACTTCTGTGGCTAATTGGCAAGGTACCAAACATCAGACATGTAATCAAGCATACAAGTGAGAGGTGCCCAGGTACCTAGTCAATTAGCTACAGCAAGTTACAAAAACCTTGTATTAATGCCCTGGCACTCTGGCCATTATGTTCACATTCTACAGACTGCAATTACTATGCAGAGATGAATACAAATATATGATTTTTCAATGGAATTTTGGTGCGGAGGAATTCCAGCCCTGTTGGGAAGCAGTGACTTAACTTCTCTGATGTCTAAGGAGTTAGGGGCTTGCCAATAAGGTGATAGATTTAAAATTCCAATGTCAATTAATAACTCTTTTTAAGTACTGGCTATAGGCTTTCATACACCAAGTTGCTGGCTTCTGGTTGCCTTAACGATTCTGCAATAAATCCTCACTGCTTACCGGTTTACTGATATAACCATAAGAAACTCCAGCTGAAATGGTTACTAAAATTATTCTGCTTATTTCAAAGCTGGTGCATTTTAAAAAAGAAAAGTGGGTAAGCTTAAGGAGCAAACACTTTTGAATAAAATTTGAATAAATTGGTTGATTTAGACATGGGCACAAACTGCTGTTTCAGTGGTTCATTTCCCAGCCAAACAGCTGATTTGCAGTTTTTCACCTTACCCCCTCCAGCAGACATCCATTCAGCAGCAGTGCTCAGAGGAGGCAGGGTGCGTTGCTGCTGTTGAATGGACACCTGGTAGAGGGGGCAGGGTGCCAAACTGCAGATCACTGGTTTGTGCCCATTTCTAGCTAATTTTATTTCCTCTATGCTTACCGTACAAGCTTCTTCTTTTACTGTCTTTTTCAGCACCTGCAAGTCTTCAATTAAAGGCCCATCTGTTTCCATTGCAACAGGACTGCTCACCAGACAAGTGTCACTATATACTGAATACTAACCAATGGAAAATATTTATATCAATATAGTTAAATTTAAGATGAGAAAGCAGCAATTCAAATATTTACACCCAGAAATGTTAACTTTATTAAAAGTAGTCTGGACATTCTAATGTATTTTAACTTTGAACCAGGAAGGACATGTTATGGTAGCTTGAATATCTTATAAATAAGAAATCCAACAATATAATACAAAATAAAATAAAATAAAATAAAGCTATACATGTTCTGAAGAATAAACAAATATTGCACATGGCTTGTGGCTGAAACTTTGAGACACCTTTCAGGCTTACACTATACATCTGATTTTACATGGATTCTGTGAAAAAACATGACTAAAATATGTAATCTTCGTACATGTTAAATAGATCCAAATATATCTATTTTGCCTAAACCTATCTTCTTTAACGTATTTAAAAATATGAATAGAGAGAGTGTATATCTGTGGTGGACCTTAGTTTTCCAGTAAATATCTCTTTTAAAAGCTAAAATACCAGCCTGTGGATATTTTCTACATACCTGAGGATTTGATTTGGCTAGATTTTCTATTTTAACCCATGCTTCTTCTCTTTCCTTCATTTTTAGCTTCTCCCTAGGAGAAAAGAAATACCAAACATATAACAATGCTCCTTGAATATTTCAAAAGGATTTTAAAAGCATTTTAAAAGAATTCTAAAATTGTAATCTTTTGTATTCACATTATAATAATCTATCTGATTACAGTCTGTGCTCACTAGACATTATATATTAGAGACAGAATAATTCTTGGAAGGAATGGATGTCAGAAAAATCCCACTATTATTAAGACAAGCCAATCACAAATTTTGTTTGGGCTTGGTGGTTTCCCTCCCTGCTTACTATACATCCATAATCTTAACTACCTACTGAGATGTAGGACCTAAGACAACCGATTCAAATTACAATAAAAGGGAGTTTGCCAAAACATTAGGAAGATCTTTTTTATAGTAACAGGTCTTCAAGTGTGGAAAGGACTGCATGCGAGGGTGGTGGAATTCCTTATGGATAAAGTTTATGGTTACTTGCAATGTCCTTACAGAGAAACCCTAAGGTATGTATTTTTACAGAAAATGTCATTCTCAGTTTGGCGTCCTTCTGGATTCATCCCTAAGTCTGGATGCCCATGTTTTGGTGGTGCCCAGGAATGCATTAGCACAATTAAAACTAGTGTGCCAGCTGCACCCATTCCTGAAGAGGTCTGATCTGGTCACAGACAGCACATAACCCCCTATTACAGCAACTCCACTGGCTGCAGATTCATTTCGGTCACAATTCAACTGCTGGTTCTAACCTATAAAAGCCCTAAACAGCTTGGGTCCAAGTTATCTCAAGGACCATATCTCTCTTTCTGAGCCTGTCTGGGTGTTAAGATCATCTCAGTCCCACCATCTTCATAGGTGTGTTTTGTGGACATAAAGGAGTGGGTCTTCTTTGTTGCTGCTCCCAGACATTGGAGCAGCAACATCTTTCATCAAGTAGGCAAATTTTCCCTTAGTGACTGTCTGAGTGGGATTTTTTAAATGGATTGTTGTTCATTACTGCTTTGAATGTGTTTTTGGTGTTGCTTTTGTTTACTGTTTTTTAATGTGGTATTTGCTCCATCCTTTTTGCTTTTTATTTTAGATATTGTCTTTTAGTGATGTAAGCTGTCTTGAGTCCTTTTTAAGGAGAAAGGGAGGCTAAAAGATATTTTAAATAAAAAAAGTAACTAACTAAATAAAAATACACTTAGAGCTATGCCTTGAGCTACATCATATGGGTGGGATACGAACGGGCCATTCCTCACATTCTAAGCATTTTTAGAACATGTCTCTCTAACTCTGCTAAGTATATTTCATTACTCCTCCTGACTCATTTACAAGAAATAATAAAATTCTATTATAAAGCCACTACTCCAAGAGCTCCTGTGGAATACTGGTCATTTGCTCATGCTCGCTAACCTTTTATAGTGGAGGGAACTGGAAACTAAGCAGAAACCACTGCCTTTTGCAAGTCCTTTTGTCCACATCCCCTGCAATTTATAATAATTTGGGTGAGCAGAGGAAAGGTGATGGATGAGGCTGGTAGACTAGAAACCTAGCGATGGAGGAGATATTTCCAAGCCTCCATCTTCCTGAGCCCTGGTGGATTCTCAGAGGTAGCTCTGTCTTTTTCAAAGAATTCTTCACAATAGGTTTGGAGACACTTATTTCATCTGAATGAAGACTGGCTGATTTCATATACCCCAAATAAAGACTGTGAAACAATATACAGAAAAAATATATGATGATAATAGCAACAATTGCAGATTTTCAGGAAACTACTCTGTTTCCCTGAAAATAAGACCTAACCTGAAAATAGGTCCTAGTACGATTTTTTCAGGATGCTCGTAATATAAGCCCTACCCAAAAAATAAGTCCTAGTTAAGTGAAACGCCACCCTCCACCACTGTGCAGCAACCAGAAGACGACATGACTGTATTTGAATAAATGTAGACTGTTGTACTTGAAAAAAATTAAACATTCCCTGAAAATAAGCCTTAATGCATTTTTGGAGCAAAAATTAATATAAGATCCTGTCTTATTTTCGGGGAAACACAGTACTTTTCCCCTTCAAAACAGCATTAATATCTCAAAATAAACAGTGGAAAACATAAGGAAGGAGAATACATTAAAATTCTTACTTACTTAAGTTTTTCTGCTTTAAATTGTTGTGTGCAATCATCAAACAGTTTTTGGTTCATTTCCATGAAGAGTTTCAGAGCATTGTAAATCAAGCCATGTATTGTCCTACAAAGTACATTTGTTGCTTAGACTTTTCAAAATATACACTAGAAATAAAGGTTGTTTCCACCAGCTAAAGTATGAGATGCACAAATTAAGCAACAAGAGCTTAAACATTCTATAGTTATTAATTCTGTTCACTAACTCTAGAAGTTGTGACACTCTTTTCAGCACTGTGCTAACCTATAGACAATTTTAAGAATGTGAAGTTTGATAATAATTTATATTATCAGATTCCACATAATAACCTAAACTTTTGCTAAAAGAGGTATGAGACACCAGTAAATTAAACATAATTTAACGTGGCCACAGAAACTAATGTGAAAATTATCCAACTGCATTATATTTTGCAAACATATTGGGCTACAATGCCCCTAAAAACAATGATGCAATCTACACAAGATGTCTTCCTGCTAAATTATAGCCACCAATAAATACATTATATCAACCCCCCTCCCAATTAGCCTGCCTCTCTGACTAAACTAGCAGATTAGAAACTGATATTCAAATAATGATAGGAAAAAAAGCTCTTCACCTGAATCAGACAGCACTCATTGCCAGGGAAGTTAAGTTATTCTGTAAAAGTAATCTATCACATGTTATGTCATTGGATCCAAAAGACAAAATACTAAGGCTACTTGACTTGCGTCATGCAAGTTAAATGGGTGAAAAGGTGTGCCATACTATATGTGCATAGTGATCTTATTCATGCATAGGACAGAATGACTGGATGGCCCAAGTGGTGAAAAAATGATTCACAGGTTGCTGTTTCTAAATAAAGTAATCCACATTACATCAAAAGTAGTGCATCAAGGGATTACCTAAATCCAGATAAAGTAATCAACCCTTATTAATATTGTTTACTCAGTATATTTGATTGTGCTTAATGGGAGATTTATCATGCATCCTTGGCCACCCCATCAGTAGTCCTTAGCCCACAACCAACACCAGCGTTTGCAACAGCCAGTGTAGCCTGCATTCACTTATTAGCTCAATTAAAGCTTATTTAGGTGTGGAACGGTTGCAGAATTAAGGTGGACAGAATTTTGTTCATGCTAGGATTTTAAACTACTGTGCAGTTGAAAACTGACAAGAGACATACACTATATAAGCAACCTGGGACAAAATGCAGAAAGAGAAGGAAAAAAGTGAGAATACAATGACCCTAAGATTAACACTACATAATTTCAGCAGAAGCTTATGGATCACAATTCAAAGGTCTGTTGTTAAAGTTCAATGTTCTATAAATCTTGAACTGCTGGCATGTAGGAAAGGCAGTATTATAGACAATGTAAGTAGGCATATGTGGCTATTTATCTGGAAGTGGGTATGTTATTAGCAAAATATAAGGTTTGGATATACTGAACTGATGACTTGCATTCATACTTTTCCTTCCACTGCTCCCTCAAATGTTATTTACTTATTGCTCTGATTACTCTGCTTCTCAGTGGGTACAAAGATGTTTTTCAGTTTGGATCCCCCTCTCCCAGATGGTCCAAAGAAGGCTCAGCTTTTTGCTATCCAGATAATAACCCATAGAGACTTACATCACTGAGAACTGCAGCTGAAACACACTGCTATCCATTACCTTTAAACAATATTTTAAGTTACAGAATTGCCAGACCTTCATATTGGAAGACACTAACTATTTACAAATTCAAGAGAACACAGATGCTGTCTCGATGTCTTGTTCCCTGCTCTTCTAACTAACTGGTTCAATAGGATTCCTTTCTTCTTGAAAAGCTTTATCCCTATGGAGTCAGAAAGGATAAAATATGCTTGCTTTGCCCTTTTACACTCCATTTCTGCAGGGAGGTCTTGATGTTTCTTTTATTAAGACTTCTACTTGATGACCCATATCTTTTGCTTTGTGTAATGGCTTAATGTTGCCAAAAAGATAGATAAATTCCAGTTTTCAATTTTCAACAAAAATGAATTAATTTGTATTCTGCTTCTGTTTGTATCACATTTTTATTAATCTGTTATTGTAATCAGTTTATTCTTCCACATGAAAGGAAAAGTCATGTGAAAAGAAGGAAAAATGACTAAACCCTTTGCTATATGCCGAACATGCTCTGCAAAAGGAGGCACATATTCCACCCACACTTTCCTACAAAGACGGTGGTGGATGTTTCTGCACAGGGTGTTCAAACTTATGGCACATACTGTATGCAGAACTGTAGGATAATTTGTCTGTTAACCCCAGTCCTGTATTCCACTGCATGTAAGGACAATATATCAGGTTGGTCTGTGAATCAGCCCTTCAAGAAAGTGTGCCTGAGAACTGCATGGAACATAACATTAGACTGGGAAAATTCTAGTCAACTTTTTTTTCATTCATATATGAGGGGAAATTTTCACCATGTATAATCATGTGCATGTCTGATAAAGTTCAAGTACCCTACATAAACACCACCCTAATTTGCATGTGTATAAGACGTTCTGTAACTTGGGCAGTCTTAGATATTAGGGCACCAAGCAAGAAACTTCATTAGCTCTTACTTGTTCCAGTGAGTCTTTGAATTCCGGTATAAGGATGGAAACATGATGGGCAAAATCTTTGCAGCATTGTCACTGATTAAGCTCATAATATACTCATTATTCCAGTAGTATAGTGCTCTTTCTGCAACCTATGAAACATAAGGACATTTATTTCACTTACAGCTTGAACAAACTGCATGTTTTATGCATTACTTTCTTTTGTAGTCAGTGTTCTCCCCTTTTATCACAACCAAACTATCCCCCGGTATCTTGTTTGCCCCCCTGCCTGCCGCTTCTTTAATTCTGAATCCGGCACCTGTGAGCTGCAACTGCACAATTTCATGGTACTTATAAATATGAGAGAGAAAAATGTGTCTGCTCATCAAAGAACAATCCTTCACAGTGCTTCTGGACCACCCACAGTCTGCCTTCAATAACATGCCCCAAACAACCTGAAATGTGATATATGCAAGCAGCATGTGACAACTCTAGTAAGCAATGCTCAGTGAATTGTAATGTTAAAATCCTAACATAGTAAGAGTTCTTGACATTACTAACCTGAAAATGTGGACTGGAGACGCACTTGGCTAGCTGTCTGAAAAGAGGTTCCATAACCTTTACAAATTCAGATGGTTCAATAACATCTAAAATTTCTTCTAATTCATTTAAAAACATAACTTCTTTTGGACTATGAGTCTTTGGCCAGTATTTCAGTAGTGCCATCACCACCTATAAAAACAATTACAACAGAAGAAAAAATGGCAGACATTGTAAGTACATGTCTATTGAAGATTCCTTGCATTAAACTATCTGCTACTTTTATAAAAATTTACCAATAAACACTAATGCTGATAGCTTAATGGTAAAAGCCCAAAACTAGTAACAGATTTTACACCTAAGTTTTACTTTTCTGTGAACAGAGGTTTTGCAAGTTGATCACCTTTCAAACTTATTTATTTTAAATAAATAAACAGCATTTTATGGGTCAGACTGAAAATTAAATATATTGTATATTAATTCCACATTAATTTCAGCTAAGTACATAATGAAAATAGTGCTAAAGCATTAGTTACTCCTGATGACAAAAATTACTTTACTAAATATGTGAAAAATAAATAAATAAATAAATAAAACTTACTGGCTCAGTAAGTGTGCTGTCCTTTTCTAAAAACTGAACTACACAGTAAGCCAGCTAAATTAAAGGGAGAAAGAGAAATGAAGTTTAGCTTATAGATTTTCAGTTTTAGATATTAAAGATGGTTTGTTGGTATTGAATTCTTATTCTAATATGAATGAAAGGATTGGCATTTCAGACACAAAGTATCACAAAATGTGAAATTCCAGCAAGAGATGATCCAACTTAAAGTTCTAAAAAGAGTATTGTACATAGTATAGTAAGGCAGCATAACTAAGAAACTGATTGAATTCTAATATTGAACTAAGATAAAGCAATCACTTCTTCTCAAATATCATTTCCTATGCATTTATTTATTTCAACACGTACATGCCTTTCTCATGGCACTCCTCTAACCGTAGCAATCCTCTAAGCATAGTCCAAACTAAAACCCTAGAACATTGGCAGAGTAATCCTATAAACATGGAAGGCGGAAAATGGAATTTGTGGCAAAGAAACTGACATATTCTTACTGGCTGGATGGCACATTTTTTCCTTTTCTTTTCCAGAGTTGTGTTGGAGGAATTAAATGTCTTTTGATTCAGTGAATCCAAGACCATTACTGACCTGTTCCCAACACACTCCTTTTCATTCCACTGCTGCAGCACTATTGATGGAAGAGCTATGGCACTGGTGCTTTCCATCCCAGCAACAGTAGAGTTCTGACAGGCAAGCTCTTTCTCTGCCTGCCGAGTTCTCTTTTCACTGGCAAGAAAGGATGTGCAACACCCAGCAGCCCTTCACACCTGCCCTCTCCAGGAGCTTAGAATTGCTTTCTAAAACACTGATACTACAGCAGTTCAGCATGAAACAGAGCATTAAATATGTTAATTAAGAGCATATGGGCCAATTTAACTAAGAGACTAACAAAAACACATCACTACATTCCTTTTCTAGGAGACATGTTTTATAAATGGCTCTTTTGCCCATATTCCAGACTTTCTAGCATGCCGATACTCAACACATATAGGAGGGTTAAAAAGCACTGTCCCCTGTCCTGAGCATTGACTGGGGTATATTAGGGTGGAAACAAAAGGAGGATAATCATACTTAATTAACTATGATCCTTTGTTATTGAATAGGCACTTTCTAGGCATGCATTTTCTCATGCTTGCTATCACACATGGTGATTTTTCCATACAGCTGGTTTTTTGGGTGTGTGTGTATGAATAACATTGGTCCCTCTCATGAGCATCAGGCACAAGATATATCTGATGATAATATACAATAATCTTTGCAGTGTGTTGCTGAGTGCTGTAACTAGGACTTAGGACATCTGGGTTCAAATCTCTGCTATCCTGTTTAATCCTGCCCCCCCCCCCATTGTGCAGCAACCAGAAGAAGATGACATGACTGTATTTGAATAAATGTAGATTGATGTACATGAAAAAAACATACCCTGAAAATAACGTCTAATGAGCTTTTTGGAGCAAAATTTAATAAAATACCCTGTCTTATTTTTGGGGAAACATGGTAATTAGGTTAGTCACACTCCTGCAGCCTGACTTCACAGGGTTGCTGCAAGGATAAAATAGGGGAAAAAACCATGTGTGCTACCTTGAGCTCACTAAAGAAAAGGTAAGATACATATGTAACAAATAAAAAAATGCCCCCACAAGTATTGGCACAGATGGAATTTTAGCCTCAGCCTGCTATAAAATTGCCTAAAGAGAACCATCCATCAGCATGGAATCACCTGGCAGCTGTCCATAGGACCAAACTTCAGTCTCACAAACTGCCAAATACCAGCTTACTGTCACTCTTGTTAAAACACTGATTTCTGCATTCCACTGAATCGGAAACAACTCTGCATCACTCATCTGTACAAAACAAGGGAGTTCCAGTTTCACTATTATTCTGTATAAGCCACCACAACTATGTTTGGAAGTGTAGGGATATTTTTATGGTCAATAAGCTGAAGTGAAAGTCATCTGAAGTCTGCAGTTACAGCACATACTATAAAAATGACAGAAGTGTCAAAACCCTGCACTACAGGATAATGAAGAAATAAGCAGGGAAATTTAAGACTTCACATTTCCCCAAATGAAGTCTAATCCTATTTACAGCCAACTAAATAACTTTTCTCCTGCCAACCTAGCAGTTCTAAAACATGTAAATGCGAGTAGATAAATAGGTAGCACCACGGTGGGAAGGTAACGGCGTTCTGTGTCTAGTCGCGCTGGCCTCATGACCACGGAAACTGTCTTCGGACAAAACGCTGGCTCTATGGCTTGGAGACGGGGATGAGCACCGCCCCCTAGAGTCAGACACGACTGGACTAAATGTCAAGGGGAACCTTTACCTTTTAAAATAACTTTTCTCACCTCCTTTTCTAAGTAGATTTCTTGAAGAGGAGAAATGAAAGGGAAAGACTAGGGGCAACTTATAATAACATAAGGTGAGGCCAGGAAGCCTACTGTCTCTTGTGCCCTTTACTTGAACTTGAATTCATCCAGGAAAGGTAACTGTGTATTTTTCACTGTAATAACAACCTAGAGCATTGCTCAAATAACAGTTGATCTTCTCCAGATGGCTCCTTGTGTATATAAAACAGGAACATACACCACTTTGCTTCCTGATAAATAGGAAAATACATGTCTGGTTTGCTGTAGAAAGAAGGAGGATACTATATCCAAAGGAAGGAAAATCTATAAAGCATTATTTTAACATATATCTGGGTTTAGATATTTGTTTAAGATACTTTATCCCTGGCTCCCAAAGAATCACAAAGAATACAAGTCTTGCATATTAGCAATGCTTGAGCCTGAAATGCAACTTAGCTGGCTTAAGAGCATGGGCTGTTTTTTTAACTCATCTAAAACACACAGATATGTATTAGCATTATGTTTCTAATAACCCCCCAAAGTTATTGTTGTTACTTAACAAACTTTTCAAAAAGAATACAATTTCTAAAAAATTTACTTCATTTGTGCTTTTCCTAAACAAAATAGCAATTGGAGTTTGAACACACAGAAGCATTTACCTGTGGATGGTAGACACTGAGTGATTTCACTTTGTGCAATGGTAATAATACCTTGAGAAGAAAAATTTTGTGCTCTTCTTTTAATGGTAAGGCAAATCCATTAATTATACTGGAGGAGGAAAAAGTAAACATTTACAGAATTCAGAAAACTGTAACACACCATCATATTTTCAGCTTCAGTATTTAAAAAATCATACTCTATTTGCTCATAGCAGCAATTTTAATTCCAGTTCTTTAATTCAAGAATATTAGGCTATGACTCAAGAAATGAGAGTTCAAATTCCTGTTCAACCATGAAACACACAGTGTGACCTTGGGCTAGCCAGAGTCACTCAGCCTAAACTACCTCACAAGGCTGTTATGAATGCTACACCTAGAGTTTAATGAAGGAAGATGGGATATAAATGCAACTAATAGACAACATTAAGTATACAGGGATACCTCACCAGTATGTTCAATGTCTTCAGTAATTATTTTCATCTAAAAATGGACAGCTTACTTACCTGTAACTTTAGTTTGTTTGAGTGGTCATTTGTGAAGTCACATTAATAGGCTGTTCTGCACCTGTGCAGATGTCTTATGAATCTTGTATAGCCTAGAAAGCTGTTAGTCCTATCCTAACATTAGTGCACACTCGTCTACAAAATAATTCACTCCACCGCTGAATAAAGTATAGTGTGTGGCAGACAGAGGGGAGTTTGGGTGGTTTCATGATTTCGAGGCTGAGACTTTTGACCTGGCCTACATGGTGGAAAGGTGCTCTGAATTGGAGCTTTATGAGGAGGATTTTTATGCCAGGTGGGCTCGTGTCCAACTGAGAAGACTCTGTGGATTTTGAAACATCTATGCCAGGTGGGCTCGTGTCCAGGCCGTATACTGAGAAGACTCTGTGGATTTTGAAACATTTTTCTTTTTCCATGCCAATAGTGATGGTATTGCAGCATCAGGAGAGGCTTGACATTGAATCTGAATATGCAGCTGAGTGTCCCATTCCTTACATCCTCTGCAAAACAGGTACAGCAATGCATTTTGCACTCACATAATACTGTGGAAGAGCACCAAGGAAGAAGTGGGGGGGTAGAAATCCCTCCTCCCATAGATATGGGCCTATATGGTAAAGGAGTGAGCATGTTGGTAGAGAGGCTGACACTGATGGCTGTGGGGCCTCTGACAACAATGAACAGGAGTGGGTTGCAGTGGTTCTGTTCCCAGAACTCCTGGGAACTTTCTCGAGCTTAAAAACATATGATTAGGACGTTCCCCCACGGAACGCATGCTCCGCCCATCAAAAGTCTCTCAGGTCCTAAGAAGTCCGCTGCTGTCAAAGAAAAGTAAAGACAACAACATGACGGATACAGGGGAAGATGGGCAGGATGTGTGGATTCACAGAGGCCCACTCGAAGAACCATGGTTACAAGTAAGTAACCTCTCTTTCTTCTTTGTGGTCTCTGTGAATGCACACAAACGGGTGACTAGCAAGCTAACTTACCGGTCGGTTGGACATCATGTCAGCAATGAAGTAAGAACAGCTCTGCTGAAGCTCACTTCAATCTTGGCTCTGACGTCTAGTCGGTAGTGACTGATAAATATTGAGGGATAAATGTCAAGGGAGCCTTCTCTATTAGTAGGGGCTACCAATGAGCGGTTTTGAGCCCGAAACTGATTGGACTCGACAATGATTGAGTTAGGTGGTGGATGCTTAGCGAAAAAAGAAGTGTCAGTCCCATGGGTTTTGTAAAGGTTCTCTACCCATTTAGAAATCTGGAGGGAAGAGGATGGTTTGTCCCAAGATTCCTTTATGAGGTCTAGCATGACTGGAATGAAAGCTAGGCTGAGTGATGGAGACTTGTCTTGGTTAATATTGTCAAAGACGAGGTCTTGCTTTGGTGGCGATGGCTGCTCAACCTCAAGCTTGAGGGATTTCACCATATGCAGAACCAGTTGTGAATATGAGGTGAAGTCTTCTGATGGTTAAGGCGGGTGACTGTCAGCCACATTGGAATCTGTAGTGGGTAGATTCGAGGGCGATTCTAGAGAAGCATCGGAAGGTGGATGAAGGACGTCGGAGATTCTCTGGTGTAAGAATCAGGTAAAGAAGGTGACCGACGGAGGATCTAGCTGTGGCAGGGACAGAGGAATGATGAGTAGACAAGGCGGCATCAGTGTCTGTTGGTGCTGGTGGTGGTCCCCTATAGGTAGTAGTAACCTGCAGAGAGGAAGGCCTCACTTGAGAAAGTGTTGAGCTCGGTTCGGAGCCGGAAGTAGGAGCCAGTATGGGAGATGTATGGGCACCCTTTGGTAATTACTGATATGGATGAGGCTGTGGTATGTGGTGTTTAAGAGACGACTTGGCTAGCATTGATGGAGCAGGTTCAGGCTGAGGTCTTGGGGAATTATTACGATGTCGACGCTGAGGGGATGATGATGGAGAGGGTGATAATTCGGAAGGATATGTGTACGCATAGTACACCCTCTTTGGTTCCTCACAATAATAAGCCTCAGAGCATGGGTCAATGTCGTACTCTCATTGTCGACCTCGATTTTACTCACTGTGGTATGACTCCCAATAGTCCGGAATGGGTTGGCGTCGAGAGGACTTATGTAGATAGTACATCTCCTGATGTGGGGGCTCTCAATATGAAGGTGAGAGATGATGCCACTTTCCCAGATGCTTGTGAGGAGGTGACTGTTGCAAGGAGGAGTCAGAATTGGAGAACTGAATTATTGCCCGCCCTGTAGATGCAAGGCTCGAATGGGCTGAGGCTGGGCTGGAAAGATCAGCCACCGAAAGGCCATGATTGGGTGAAAGGCTTGGTAAGGAGGTTGGAGCCTGGCCTGGAGGTCAAGGAAAAGGGTCATCCACCTCTGACAAAGAGTCAGGAATCTCTCTGGAAGACTCTTCTAGTATCGGAATTGGAAAAGTTGGTTGATGAGGAGGTTCCGACGGCTGACTAGGCTTAGGAGGAAGTTTAGCCTTCTTCTGCTTAGCCTTATCCCTCTTTTGTTTAGGAGAGGATTCTCAAGCCCGTGTCGAGGATGGTTTCAAGGCTGACGCCGATTTCGAAGAGGATTTAGAGGTCAATTTTTGCTTCATTAATGGAGTGGTCGGGGTTGAAACTGGGTCTGCAGATTCTGATCTCAGAATGAGCGTTAAGGTAGGTCCCATCATTGCAGGGTTGGAAGGTTTGAGGGATTTCTCCCAAAGGAAAGATCGAAGGTGCTGGAGACAAAGTTTAAGCGCAGGCTTGGTCAATTTCTTACACTCCGGACAGGAGTGAGTTTGGTGTTGTTCCCCCAAACAGAAAAGACAATGATTGTGGCCATCAGAGAGAGAGATTCTGTTGGCACACGAAACGCACCGCTTAAACGGGCCTGGAAGAGTCATAAAAAGGGCGGGAAGCGAGGAGGGGAGGGAGGTAACAGAAATAAATGGGAAAAAATTCACAGGGAAACATCCAAAGAAGAAAAAAAAAGTATTAAATATGCCCGGAAGGCAGAGAGAAGATCCGAAGAACACAATTGAAGCAGTTTATTTAGTTGTCATGAAGGAGTCTAATGTCAGTATCAGCTAAAAGGAACTGAGGGACTTTCGACAGGCGGAGCATGCGCTCCACAGGGGGAAATCCCACTAAAAATGTGTTTTTAAGCTCTAGAAAGTTCTGATGAGTCCTGTGCAGGCACAAATTTAACCCATTCGTGTGCATTCACAAAGACCACGAAGAACTATTTTTTTAAAGGTTGAAGAAAAATGAGAATTATTTACAGCAGGTAAGCTTTGGACAACTGTGAGGTGCTGATTCAGCTGTAGTGAAAATGGAGATGAGCTAACTGCTAAGTGGAGCATGCACTAGGTGTCAGGGAAGGGCTAATAACTTTCAAGGCTCTGGAAGATTCTGGTGATGTCTGTGCAGGCACAGAATGAATGAATCACAGAGACCACAAAATAGAAACTAATGATTACCCTTTTTAGTTAGGATATAGCATTTTAATCATTTCCAGATCAATTCTCACTCTTTGAAACTGAATCTCCTTCAAAGAACAAATAGTAGAAGTATGCATACTCATGAAGCAGCTTACCTTCCCAATATTTCTAGCAATTCTGCTATGCCATTGTGATGTTCCGTTTCATAAATAAACCTGAGAACAAAAATTACCACAATCTATTTTATATGCCTGGTTGAAGCTGGATAACAGGCACACATTTTTCTTGAAAACCACATCACATTTTTTCTTTTATTAAATAACAAGTTTGCTTTTCAGCCATCCAAAGTATGCAGCCAAACAAAATATACAGAATGAAACCCTAAACAAATTATGGTAACAAAGTAACTAAATAAATCAGTAACAATATTCATAAAGACATAAGACATTAATGTGTCATTCACAGAATCCATGAAACACAAACACAAATGTATTTCTCTGGTGGATTAGAAAAAAGGGCATTACATGGAGGGGATGGGAAATATATAAAATAAAAGTGTTCCAGCTTCCAATGAAGAAGGGGAGTTACTTTTTTGGAATTATAGCATGAAGAATCCCGAAGCTAACATGGCAGTAGCCATACCGAATGTACCAGAGAGTTATCTTTCATAAATATAGCCTTTACCATCTCTGATCCTGGCCCTTTAGGCTTTCAAAATAACTGCTAGTACTTAAAAGTAGGCCCTAGAGGAAACTGGTAGCCAGTACACAGAGAGGAAGAATAGAGGTAATATCCTGAACCTGTAACTCTTATTCCTTTAAAAGAGGGGATGTGGAAGTTTCCACAAGCTAATCTTGTGACCTATCCTTGAGGATAGTACTACACAGAGTATTTTCTAGTAATCCAACTGGAATGTTACTGAAGCATAAAAGTCAACATTTATACATGCAAGACTCCAATTCTATGCATCCATACTTGCAGCTATATTCTAGTAAAATCAACAGGGCTCACTTCTCAATATTGGACTGCAATATACAGTACTGAGTGATTCAGAGGTGCTATTTCTAAGCAATATATACTCAACTACAAATGCACAAATGTTGTGTGACCTTTTCTCAATTTTAAGTGGGGCTGTAAGACCCCTGACCTTTACTTAAACCACACTATTCTTTAGAACAACCAAGAAGCATTATAGCACTGTGACCCAAAATTGTAATATCAACAGATACCATGTTGACCTTAGAGTTTAGATCCTGTTTCTGAGCTTTCAACCTCCCCTCACAAGGGCAAACATTCCACATATCTTTTTCAACTAGTAATGCTTTACTCAAAATAAAACTTGGAGCATTAGAATTAAGCTTTATTATATCTTAGCCCTACTCTTTCCAGGAAAAGTAATAAATATCATGACAATGTAGATTCCAATCTTAAAATCAAGACTTTCTTGTCAGAAATGCATTAACAACCAACATCCATCTTTTTATGGAAACCCATACACTGGAGAAAAAGTATATTTATTAAACAGTGATGTTGGTTGTGTATAATCATCTGTCAATCTTTCCCCCCTAAAATACATTTGTTATGATGGAATATAAGCTCCCTTTAAAGCTGGTGTCATTGTCTTTTATATACCGATGGGCAAAACACTGTAGCTCAACTGGTATTATACCCTTCAAGAGGCATAACTGTATGTTCCCTCTTGGAAAAACCATACAAAAGAATAAGATTAAGAAAGGTGCATTAAAATGCAGGCAGCTTCACAACAGACCAAGAATGGAGATTATGTCAGCCTCCAGATGTTGCAGGACTGCTGCTCTCATCTTCTCCCATCAACAGCTATGCTGAAAAGGGGTTATGAGAAATGTTGCATTAATTTAGCACTGATCTTTCGCCATAATAAAGTATGTTAATTCAGTCATACAACATCTGGAGGGCTATCTATGTTTTCCCCTTTGACTCCTATAGCCCAGTATAAGGGGGATAAAGCATAGAGCTGAAAAGCAAAAGTCATGGTGTAACTTGTTTGAAGCCATAATGAAATACTGCTAACAACATTTGGATTCTGTAACACAGGACTTACAAAAATACATCACTCAATACATATTAACAGCACAACGTGAAGACATACATACCTATAAAATATATTGTTAATTTGCTTCCTGATGTAAGCTCTCAGGCCTAAGAATTTCCCATATATTCTGTGCAGAGTAGTCTTAAGAAAATCTCTCTCACGAGGATCTTCACTGTCAAAGAGCTCTAAAAGCTGCAAGAGATGCACATTCATTTGTTCAATCTATTTCAGATTAATCTGGATTTAAACTTTGAAGTTTAAATCATTTTTAACCTCACCTGCAATACAAACTTCTGATCAATATATTTCTTAGCTATATTAGGCTGGAAATCTGGAGATTCTAAAAACCTTAAGAAAAATTCATAAACAAGCTGAAAAAGATCCACAGAAAATAAAAATTAGTTTTACAACAAAAATGCAGCTTTAGATTTTTTTAAAGAATACTTCTAACAGTTCAAGAACAATTTAAATAAAATTCAAATCACACTGGGATATTTTGAACAATCTTAATTACTTCAGCTATCTATCTGTTCAGCCAAAAGTGGCAAACTGCCCCCCGTGGGTCTTCCACAGAATCCTACTCCCTCCCTGTACCACTCCTACTATAAGTTTTTTAGTTAGGGCCTAAAATCTTTTTAGGGGTGGAGGGTGCAGGCCACCAAACTCTTTCGTCTCTTTGTCAAAATAATATTACTGAGAGAAAACAACCAGAAGTCGTATGTCTCTTTAAAGACTGTTTTGTTCTGTTCTTTTGCACAGACTTTTGTCTGAAGCGTCACAAGATTTTTGTTATTTTTTGCTGCAATACACTGACACGGCTAACCCCCTACGAGGTGAAGCTAGTGAACTCAGAGGGCTAGGGTATCTCTTATCACTTCAGCCTATTGTATATCAAAATATTCCTCCGAAAGAGAAACCATGGAATACAGTGGAGTAAAGCAACAAAAGATACAGTGGTTTATTTCTCAAAAATCTGACTGAGAGAGAAACCATGGAATAAACTGATCCACAGTATTTACCTCTCCTCTTCTAGCAGGAAGAGGTAAACTTTTCCTGTTGGGATGCAGTGTGGTTTACAATACTGACTGAAGATCCTTGGCTTTCCCTCCTCTGTAGGAATGTAATGGAGATGCCCTGGCAGTGGTCTGCCTCTGTCTTAAACTCTCTTCTGTTTAAATTCTGGGTATAAACCACTGAGAATTTTGCCTGCTTAAGCCATTTAAGCAATGAATGGAACTTTGAAGCCCTATTCATTTCAGTGGGGCTTTATTTTCCTAGCTATTCATACCATTTCCAAATGCAGAAATTCCATAAATTCTTTTTGCCCAATGTAGATATATGCTGCTAGACATACGTACATGTATCTTATATATGTAGATATGACTTTAATAAATACAGTGGTGCCCCGCTTAACGATTACCCCACTCCACGACAAATCCGCTTTACGATTAGGGTTTAAACCGCTTTACGATGATCAGTTCCCTGCTTCAGGAACCAATTTTTCGCTTTACGATGATCAAAATAGCTGATCATAGGGCTTTCAAAATGGCTCCCCGCTGTGTAAAATGGTTTCCCGCTGTGTTTCCTCGCTTTACAGGCACCGGAAAATGGCCGCCCTATGGAGAATCTTCGCTGGACGATGAGGTATTTCACCCAGTAGAACTCATTAACCGGTTTATGCATTTCAATGGGCTTTTTACTTTCGCTTGACGACGATTTCACTGTACAGCGATTTTGCTGGAACCGATTATCGTCGTCAAGCGAGGTACCACTGTAATTACATTATCACCCTATAGTAGCTTTCCTCCTCCTTCCTTAGTTGTAGCCAATATGTATGTCACTATCTAGTATTAAACGGTATTTAATTTTAAACAGGCTTCAAGAAAGCTTCCTAATCAATCAGACTATGATTTCCAAGACTGGTTAAGAGGAACCTTGTTAATATGAAAAAAAATTGTTAAGATTACTACCAACTTCAGTGGATTCAAAATTAAAGTGTTTTGGTTATAGAGAAGGGTTCACTGGGCTGGGCTAATTTTAGCTATTTCATACCTGATTTCTTACTCATTCTTAGAATTTAAAGAGGTCAGAATTGCAACATTGTTTTCTGACAGCCACTTCAGGATATTAGCATATTAAACACTTCCCTGCTTCTTTCTGGAGGGACAGAGGAAGTGAAATTATCAGATTTTGCCGTTGCTAGACCATCGCTAGTACAGTGGTGCCCCGCATAGCGACGTTAATCCGTTCCGGATTAATCATCACTATCTGGAAACATCGCTAAATGGAACTAAAAACCTCGTAGGAATGCATTAAACTTCGTTTAATGCATTCCTATGGGACGAAAACTCACTGTTCAGCGAAGATCCTCCATAGCGCCGCCATTTTCGCCGCCTTGGTAAGCGAGGAAACCACGCAAAAATGCTTGTGGTGGCCATTTTGGGCACCCGGCGGCCATTTTGGAACCGCCGATCAGCTGTTCTAAAAACATCGCAATGCGAAGATCGGTAAGCGAAATGCTTACTGATCATCGCAATGCGATGTTTTCCCATTCAAAACATCGCAATGCGATCGCATTAGCGATTGCAAAAAATAGATCATTATGCGGATTCGTCGTTAAACGGTGCGCTTGTTATGCGAGGCACCACTGTATACTGATTCACTTAAGATAAAATTTTAAAAAAATCTTTGGTGCATAGTGCCAATTGAGAAACTGCCTGCAGCTTTGATTTTGATCAGCACTTCACACAAGCATTTTTTTTAAAAAAATTAATCTAAGTGATTAAGTATATCAGTGAGGCTCTAAAAGAGGCAAAAATTAATAATTTCATATCTCCTGCCTCTCTGCAGATATCCTGAAGTGGCTTGTTTATTAAGTCACTTCACAGTACAGTGGTGTCCTGCTAGATGATTACCCCACAAAACGACGAAACTGCATGACGATGAGGTTTTGCAATCGGCATTGCGCTTCGCAAAACAGTGTTTCCTATTGGCGATTTTTGCTATACGATGTTTCGGTCCGTGCTTCGCAAGACAGGTTTTTTTCTTGGGACCAATGCTTCGCAAGATGAATATTTAAACAGCTGATCGGCAGCTTCACAAAATGGCTTCCCTATGGGCGATCTTCGCAAAACGACGACTATTTTCCCCACTGGAACGCATTAAACAGATTTCAATGCATTCCAATGGGGAAACGCTTTTCGCAGGACGATGCTTTCGCTAATCAGCGATTTCAATGGAACGGATTAACATTGTCTTGCGGGGCACCACTGTATCAGAAACTGAAACTGGAAGTCTTGGCAGCTGTGCAAACTGTGAAGTTCAATTTTAGTCTTCACAGAAATCTTACATGTTGGGAATGGGCTATATGGAGACCAAGATGCAGCAGCCTGGGGCTGGTTACAAGGGTCACATAATTTCCCTGTTACAGCAGCTCCGCTTCTGTTTCTGGGCACAATTTGTAGTGCTGGTTTTAACCTGTAAAGTTCTAAATGGCCTGGGTCCAAGCTATCTCAAAGACCGTATCTCTCATTATGAATCAGTTTGGGTGTTAAGATAATCAGGAGAAGCCTTTCTCTCAGTTCTGCCACCTTCACAGGTGCGTCTGATGGGAACACAGAAGAGAGCTTTCTGTGTTGCTGCTCCCAGACTTTGGAACTCCCTCCCACAGGAGGCCAGAAAGGTGTTATATTTGCTGTCTTTATGCATGCAGGCAAAGATGTTTCTATTTAGGCAAGGCTTCCCTCGGTAACGAGCTACCTGTATGTGATTTTTAAATGGATTGTTATACATTACTGCTTTGATTGGGTTTTTAGTACTATTTGTGTTTTTCATTTTTGTGTTTTCCATTTCTCAGAGTGACTTTTTTTCTTTTTTATATTTATATACTTATTGTTCTTAGCTTTAAATATTGTCTTTTAATGATGTTAACCACTGTTATATACTTATTGTTTTCAACTTTAAATATTGTCTTTCAATGTTATAAGCCGCCCTGGATACTTTTCAAGGGAGGGGATGGGGTATAAACAAACAAACAAACAAACAAATGCAGGTATTGGAGTAAACCAACTTGCACCAAAAAGATAGAACTTTCAAAAAAGTATTGGTTAGGATGCTCTGGGTACAGATTGGTCCACTCTAGTGATTATGTTGTGTAATCAATGTAAAAAAAGAACATATCAATTTGCCTCCACAACATACTGAACAGTCAGACAAATGCCTGTCTGATCAATCCCTAAGTTAGCTCAATGTTGTATGCATATTATTCATGCTTTTATGTATACCATGTAGTCACACCCACATTTACAACTCAAATTTGTGTAAAAATCAAAAAGGCCAATTAATCCTTCTCTATAACAAAAGCACTAAGCTAAGTCTAGAGTGACAAACCACAGACTTGGAACATATCCATAAGATACTTAAACAGCAAACCACTGTCTTGCCATATTTTAGTTTGCAATAATTTAGCTGGCAGTACTATAATGAAAATAAACAAACTATATTTGCATAGTACCTGTAAGTGAGGCCAGGCAGCTTCTAAGGTTGGTTCATCCTCCTCTGGGTCAAATTCTGCTCCCGTTGGGTTAGATGAAGGTGGTAGTGTGCGGAACATGTTAACTGCAAACTACAATTACATTTGTCTAAGTTCTAGTACTAGAAAAAACTCTATTTTCAAAACATTTATTTGAATAAAAAATTTCAATTAAAAGGAAACGGGTGCAAATAAATACACAAGATATAAGTTTTTATTCTGGTATTAAAATGTGTGCATAAAAACATTTCTTCAGATTTACTTTTCCTCTACTACCTAATATTTTCTTTACAATAATCTCATCAAACAAAAGGAAATTGAGATTGGCTAACATTTGGAAACCAGAGTGAAAAAATAAATTATCATGGCAGCGAAGATTTCAGAAACCATCTCCAAACAACCTCAAAACCCTCTCTTTCAACTTCTGCTGTATCACAGCATTCTGTTTACTATTAAGAATGTGGCAAAGTTCTTATACTGACTAGCACAGCCACTACTCTCAAGAATAGCACATAGTCCTAAGAAGCTGATTGAATGTCAGTGTAACACTGAACTGGGAAGTGGTGATTTTCTGGTTTAAATCTCAATACTGGCATGAACTCACTAGCTAGTGTAAGTCAAGTCTCAATAAACTCAACACTCATATGTAACAGGGAAATAACACGGGCCCATATTATAGGAGTTTTAAGAATTAGTAAAAGGATGCTCTTGGAGCAATACACACAACAGCAGCAGTGACAGGAGTGCTTTCTCCAACTTTACTTTTTCTTAGACAGGAGGGATCTGGCCATACTGATATGACCGTGGAACCTGTCTTGTGAAATCTGGATATGACTACAGTAAGGTGCTCTACACTGGGCTGACTTTAGAAACTTAAACTGGTCATAAGACGACCACTGAAATGTTGGCATATGCAAGGCATTCAGTCACAAAACTCTGATCCTTGAGATTTGTACTGGCTTCTGGTTGGTTTTCAAAGTACCGGTGTTAAGCTTTAAGGTTCTAAATGGTTTGAGACCAAGATTTCTCAAGAACATTCTATTTCATGAGCCTATGGAGACAATCAGTGTCATTTTTACAGGCTCTTTTGTAAAACCTTTTTGCCACCTGAAATGTGGTAAGTGGGCATGTGATAGGCTGGCTATACAAGAAAGTTCCTTCTCTATAGTGGTGTCAAGGTTCAACAGTTCTCTACTGATAGTCCAACTAATCCCCACCTACTGTTTTTTTAATGCTATGCTGTTATGGATGACATTCTGGCTATTATTCTTACAAATTATATTTTTGTGGAAAAGGTCATGTTCTGTGGCATACTAAGACAAAACTAAAAACTTTTAAAGTAAAATCTAGCTTGGACAACCAATTATGAAGAGATTGTTCAAAAGAAAAAGAGGTTTTCAGAAAACTTTATTTAAGTAACTTACCATATGTACTACTTCTGGGTAAATGGGCTCAGTAATCACATTGCGATTATGTGTGATGTATTCTACCATTTCACTTAAAGCTGCTCGTTTTACTTCCTTCCACTTCAGGTCACTTAGTGGATCAGAAACAAAGTCAAAGAGGACACAACATTGTCGCAATTTCTGAATGAAAAGTTTTTCTTGCTCTGCGGGAGGAACATCTGAAAGAAGTGAAAATATTATGTTATTGTTTGAATATATTTGCTAATTGCCTTTTCAGCTGCAGAAAACTGCAGTATTATGGGACAGTACAGCAAGCTTTCCTGACAAAGTAATGCTTCAGCTGTTGCAGTCTGATACCATAACTCAAATATACAATACAAGATATATAAAATATATATGAATGCTAATATTCTTCTCTTATTTTTTGTATTGATAATATTTTGACTGTTCTCAAAATTTCAAATAAATTTCAAAAAGCAATTTCCACATTCATTGGAATACAATGCATAAACTACAGTGGTGTACAACAAAATACTATCTTGTCCAACACTAAAGGGAGAAAAACAGCTTGGGCTAGTCCTGCGTACATATGAACAAGCACACATGGTAGCAAAGTGGTGGCATCCAGAACCTGTAGAATGGACAGTTATCACTGTAGATAGAGGGAAAGCGTATTTTAACATTTCTCATATAATAAATCTTCCTGTAATGATATACTGGGGCTAAAAGCTTTCCTGATGCCCTGGCTATTTGATGCTTTACGGTTTTATAAAACAAGGAAAAAGATTAAAATGGCATTACCCACCTGCAGTGTAAACTTGTACTGCTCACCCTCTCAGCTAAAGACTCTAAGATCAGTACTCAGTCTAATTTTTAGGGGAACTCAATAAATCTGTTTCCGTGCTTGAAAAGTATTAGCCACATCAGATGGAACAAAATAATTGCAGTAATACCTTATTTGTATAAGCTTGCATCCAATGTACAAAGAAGAGAAAAAAGGCTAACAAGTGATGAGCCTTAAAAGCAACAGTAATTGGCTTCAAAATAATTTGCCTCGTAATCCTAGTACACACTAGCAGTGCTATTTGGATCATTTACTAGATATATGCTTGCTGGGAAGTAAGGGAGAGGAATTTAACCACTTCATAAAGCAGTACAAATTAGTAGTGATATATCATTGATGACAATCAGAGGCAGTGGCTGTGGAATGTGGTTTTACAAGAGTTAATACCTGAGGTTATATAACTATCATTAGCAATCTGATTAAGTACTGTATATGCTTGTACTCATCATATTGAAAACTGATTAAATATTTATCTTATTTTGGGTCTGAATTCATCATCAGGGGAGGCTTTCTCTTGGTCTTACCACCTTCGCAGGTGTGTTTGATGGGGACACAGGATTTCTCAGAATGTTATTGGTTCCTTTTTAACATATCTATACTTCATGTTTTAGCTTTAAATATTGCCTTTTAAATATGTGTGCTACCTTTGTGTACTTATTGTTCTGTTCTTAAATATTGCATTTTAATGTTGTAGGCCACCTTGGGTCCTTATCTAAGGAGAAAGGCAAAGTAAAAAAAATTTTAGATAAATAAAATTAAACCTTTCTCTCCCAGACCCACCCAAAATTTACTCAAAGATTATGCTTTACTATGCTTCCCCAAAGATGCTATCCAACTTCATGAACTTATATTCTACAAAGTTGGCATATGTTGTAAATAGAATATGTAACATCAATAAAACACCCCTAGTTCTTTACTAGATAGGTGGATAAAATGTTATCTGTAAAATTTCCCTTACTTCTCTATAAAGACTAGAGAGACTTTGTTCCTCCAACAAAAGCTCTATATTTAGAGACTGAACCTGTGATACTCCTATGGTTACAATTTCATCTTCCAGCCCTTCTAAACATGCACAATGAACACCTGCATTCACTAGGATGAACAGTGAAAGGCTTTGGATTTGGTAATTTCTACACTATGCTTTTCAACAATTCCTCTGCTCTGAGACAACACCACTCCACTTATTCATGCTTACACTTAACACCTGTCTTACAGTTCAGCTCACTAATTGTAACTGTACAATTGGTTTCTTATGGTCAAAGCTAAACTGTGGCATACCTTGCCTTGAGAGACTAGATTGGAAGTCATTTTCAAAGTGCCTTATTTTATAGCAAAACCCCCTTTCAAGTTGGCATTTGCGCCATCAGTTTTTTCAATTGTTAAGTTACAGATATATATCTATTTTTATTGCATTATATTTATCACTAGTTTCAACTAATGTGATCTGACTAGACTGGCAGGATGTATTATATTCTATGAATAAACAAGTAAATAAAATAAAATAAATAAAGCAAGCAAGCAAGCAGTGGCAATCTCTATCTCAATACAGGTGTTATAATTAAATTGTTGTTGTTGTTTACTTGTTAAGCCATGTCCAACTCTTCATGAGCCCATGGACCAGAGCATGCCTGGCCCTCCTCTCTTTCGCTGCCACCTGGAGTTACGTCAAATTCATGTTGATATCTTCAATGACACTGTCCAACCATCTCGTCCTCTGTCGTCCCCTTCTCCTCTTGCCTTCTCACTTTCCCAACATCAGGGTCTTTTCCAGGGAGTCCTCTCTTCTCATGAGGTGGCCAAAATACTGGAGCCCCAGCTTCAGGATCTGTCCTTCCAGTGTGCACTCAGGGTTGATTCCCTTCAAAATGGATAGGTTTGTTCTCCTTGCAGTCCAGGGGACTCTCAAGAGTCTCCTCCAGCCCCACAATTCAAAAGCATCAATTCTTCAGTAGTCAGCCTTCTTTATGGTCCAGCTCTCACTTCTATACATCGCTACTGGAAAAACCCTAGCTTTGACTATGCGGACCTTTGTCGGCAGGGTGATGCCTCTGCTTTTTAAGATGCTGTCTAGGTTTGTCATCGCTTTTGTCCCAAGAAGCAGGCATCTTTTAATTTAGCGGCTGCTGTCGCCATCTGTAGTGATCATGGAGCCCAAGAAAGTAAAATCTGTCACTACCTCCATATCTTCCCCTTCTATTTGCCAGGAGGTGATGGGGCCAGTGGCCATGATCTTAGTTTTTTTGATGTTGAGCTTCACAACATTTTTTTTGCCCACATTAAGAGATTCATTAATTCCTCCTTAGAGTGGTATCATCTGCATATCAGAGGTTGTGGACAGACATCAACTTTGTGGTAACTACTACAAACCTGTAAGAAATGAATGTGAGGAAGTCTCCTTGCAGCTTAGCTTTAATATTTGCTAGTCTACAACATATTTTGATTATTTCAGAAGGAAATCTTTTAGAAGCCTCTGATTCTCAGGTAAGATGCTATACTGATATCTTTATTTAAGCATGTATATGTGAACTTCCCTTAGAATTTAAGTTACCTGAATAAACTAATTTAGCACCTGATTATATTACATGGTCAATCAATTAGCAAAATATATTATCAAGAAAGTGAGCACCAGAAGATAATTGAATGGTTTTATACAAAACAAGGAACTATAGCTTTTATTAAGATTTAGCAAATTTAGCAATGTAAAGCCCCATTTTCAAAATAAACAAGAACATCAACCTGACATAGGAGTCTGGCCAAGTAAGCACACAGTGCAAAGTGAAATTCAATTTCAGCTTTCGTCAGTGTTACTAGGAGACCATTGATAGCAAAGAGCTTTGTAACCACCAAGAAGGTGCTAAATGACAGATATTTATGAACAAAACATCACTCTTATGACAACAGGCAGGCTGAGAGCCTTGTTTAACCATTTATGAGATCCCTAAATATAACTAGATACTACTACCAAATTTGCAGAGACAAACTTTTTTCAAAAAATGTTTAGCCTAATATTTTTGTCACCATTACAAGGGTTTCTTTTAAAAGCAAGTAATATTCCTATAACATATTTACCTTCCTTAACAGAAGCCATTTAAAAATCAACTTTAATATGTAGCATATAGAATTTTGTCTAGAAATTTAGATGGTGATGACAATTTAGATAACCAATTACAAAATGTGTGATTTGAATGGCTAGAATCCTATTGTATATTTCTACTAGTATAATGTCTTTGATGTAACTATCAGTGCCGAATTGTCACATATTAAGTCAGCAAAGGCATTTCCTATCACACACAGTCCTATAACCATAGGAAATACCTTCTTAGCTTGTGACATTTGGCAACTGAAAGTTATGCCAACAGTATTGCACTGGTAAGTCTAAACTAAAGTACAGTATCAGCATTCAAGTTCTGTTGTAGGCCATAACTTTATCTTTTACTATGATACTTATAGAGGCTATTAGGTAACATAATTAAATTGGTCCTAAACTGATCAAAACATTCCCTTTGCATTCAGCATATGCTTACAAAACACCAGCTGCTGAATTTAATATGAATTACAATCTCTATTCCACATATGACCTTTCTCTTTAACCAGAACAAGTGTTTGAACACAATGGCCAAAATCCTTTTAATTAGTTTGTTAAACTGAACTAATGTAGGCTTGTTCATATATTCCATTAATTCAAATGGGCTTAACTTTAACTTAATGTTACATTGCAGTTAAGAGTATGCCCATTTGAATCAATGGAATTTATGGAGTTATTAAACCCTCAATGATTCAATGTGTCTACTCTAATGTAATTTACTATGCCAAGAAACAGGATTTTAGTTATTGTTGACATGAAAGAGCGCTAAAAGAAAGTGAGCCATCCTCAGCAGTAGAGACACTAGCAGAGGAAAAAAGGGGGTTGTAGCATAGCTGTGGCCGAGGGGGGAAAAATCATGTTAGAAAAGACAGAAAAGATGAAGGGAAAAGTTGAGATTTGCCTGGTAGAAGAGGGAGAGAAAGGAAGAGGGGAGGAGCAAAGGATGTCAGTTTGGGAGGAAAGCATAAATACCCAGGGAGAATGATGGTTTGGCAGTAGGTTTGAAGGCGAGAGAATGAGAAGGAAGGAGGGATGAGGCGGTCCAGAAACTGTTTACGAAAAGGCACACGGGCTATTGAAAGATCTTCCAAACTAAAAGGATGGCGGATTGCTGCCTGATCCAGAGCTGAAGCAAGAGGGGGAGACTGTGTTAGAGACACAAGAGTGGACAGTCATCGTCTTCCCACACAGAGAGGGAAGAAGCAAAAAGGTGATTCGTCCCGATTCCCCCCAAAGGAGGAGACTGGGCGAGACACCCATGCTGCAGAATCATCTGTGCGGTGATGAGT